ATATTATCTTACTACAGGGTTCAGTTCCCACAGTCTTGGAGGCTGACAAGTTCAGGATCTGTAGGGAAGGGCAGAAGTCTATGGAGAAGCTCTGCCTCTGTCCTCTTGGCCTTCACTGAGCACATGAGGCTCACTTAGGTTCTGGGGGTGAAGTGCTTTACTCACTGTCTACTATTATAAATGTTAATCCTGTCTAAAAATACCTTCACAAGGACATCTTAGCCTGGTGTTTGACTCAATACCTGGGCACCATGCCCTTGCCGAGTTGCCATAAAAAAATACGATGTTTGCCAAAATTCCACTTGACAGATGGCTGTTATTTTCCCAAGTCGCCGTTTCCTTACATACAACATCATACTCTTCCTGTTGGGTTACCACACACAACATTGTAGTGCTCAGTCCTCTGAACCTAACGCCTCACCCCAAGAACTGTGGACCCCAGAGATTTGCAGAGTTTTCTGTAGTGTTCCTTAAATTCTAGAGGGGAGTACCTGCCTTCTGCTCTTGTGTCTTCCACACGCCAGAATGAGGGGCTTCTTTGGTTTGGTTTGGGATCTTTTTTGATGACAAAATACCTGAGTAGAAGTAACTTCTGCCTGAGTAGAAGGAAGGAAATGTTAGTTTCGGCTTACACTTTGAGGGTACACAGTCTGTCAGTGTAGGGAAGCCAAGGCGGCAGGAAGATGAGACAGGAAGCAGGGTGGTTAGCTTGCTCCCTCCTTGTCATAGTCTTTAGCCCTAGCCCAAAGGATGGTACTTCCACATGTAGGGGAGGGTCTTCCCACCTCAGCCTGATCTAGAAATGCCCTCACAGACACACCCAGAGGTTTGTCTCTCCAGTGATTTTAGATCCTGTCAAGCTGGCAGTCAGTATTACCCATCACAGCTCTTTTTTTATAGTTCACAAGCCTTTTCACAGGTTCTTATTCTCAAGAGTTTTCCCTGTTCAGTCACAGGTGGAGTTTGTTTGTTTGTTTGGCTTTTATTTTTTATTTTTCTGACTCCTTGCTGGACCCTCACAGGTACCTTCTGGCAGCTTGTAGTCTCTAACAGCTGTCTCAGTGTGTAACCTTAGACAGGTTGAAATGAGGTTTCAGTCCTTAAGCCACTACTTTGTATTCCTACTTACCGTGAAGGAAGAGAAAAACAACATATCTAATTCTAAAGTCAAACAGAGCAGCAAACAGGGTGGGGCGGTGTCTTTATTTATCTGATAAAATGGATCTTTAAAAACCAACTCAATAATACACTTCATGTTGAATGAACTGAATCCCAGAAAAGTTTGGGAGTTTTTCAGATAAAAGTAGTACAAAGTTCAAGGTGAAGAATAAGCAACTGAGAGCTTGAGCAAGAAAAAGAATTTTAAAAGGATCCTACAGGCAGACAGAGCAGGTAACAGAATCCTCTGTTAAGCAGGGCAATGAGACTCACATAGGACTGTCAGTGATTAAACAGATGCAGTGCTAAAACAGACGGGAAAAGCCTCAAGCAAATTCAAAAGTGTGTGTTTGGGAACTGAATATGGTGAAGATGGCATTCCAGTTCAGAGATGACGTTTATTTTATTTGGTAATGCTGCCGTTTGTTCTATTTTCTGTCACAAACAAAAGAGAAGAAACAGCACTTACGTGTAAAGTGATGTAATAAGTAATGAGAGGAAGCTTTAAGACAACCCTCCTAACAGAGTCAGAAGAGTTAGACGCTGTGAAGGGAATGTGGGCACTTGTAACAGCAGCAGAAGACTGCCGAGTGGGGAAAGGTACCATCTCTAAACTTATGAGATGGAAATACCTCATTATGTTTGAAAAGGATTCACCAATATGAAAGGTTCTAAGAATTGATTTTTTTAATTCAATTGAACATTAAGCAAAAAGTGGGAATGGTAGGTCTCAGAAGAGGAAATGCAAATGACCAGTAAACATCCCCAAAGGTGATAAACTCAGAAACTGTGCTGTCGATTTTCATCAACCTGATCTGCCAGACTGAAGTGATTGGTAACTCAGTTGTGATTATACAAGCAAGTACTGTCTCACAATCTTTGGGTACAACAATTAACAACCTCTCACTATTTACATCTTTGTTTCTGTGGCTGGTAGTTTCCACTTGGGGCATACTGTCTTCAGTAATGAAAATTTCCGTACATGAGGACATGTTACATTTATTGTGGTGTCATGTGATAGGAGGGAAACTTAAAAAAAAACTGAGACGAACATTGCTATTTAAAAGATTTCTCTAGTTCTGTCTCGATGGCCCATGTGATGACGTAAACAACAGAACATTATAGAGTTGTGTGATCTCATTTGATTAAGGGGACAGACTGAAAGAAAGGGTCTATCTCATGAGAATAGAGAGAATAAACTGAAAAACACCAAAACAGCATCGGGACTAAGAGAGTGAGGCAGGGTTTGAAGATGGAAACCTAGAAAAAAATCATTCACTTTTTCTCCATTTTTTTTTTTTATTGCTTAACTTGTGGCACCAAGTTATCTTATTTTTACAATATAAAATTTACAATTTTAGATTGTCTTGAAATAACCTTTTACAAAAGACTCCTAGCTAAAATACCAGAGCTCATATGATCAGATGTACAAAACCAGCTCTTTTGAAAGAGAAATCACTAAATGGAATTAGCCCAGTACATCTCATGTTTTCCTGCCTCTGAAATGTAATGACACTTCTCCTTAAAAGAGATCAGAGCCCCAAATTACCAGTAGAGTCTATGAATTATTTGCCTTTACAACTTGCAGAGAAGGCCACTGGCTTCTTACCCAACTAGCCATTCCTCCTCTTATCCTCTTTGTGCAGGCCCTCATGACTTCCTCAGTCCTGTTTCCTCCTGAGTCTGTAGCTGTCTTTCCCTCTTTGTAATCAGCCTCTTCTCTGTCTGTGTCGCCAGGCAATTTGGAAAAAAAGAGACATCCAATAGTCTTTACCATGAATTGAAACCTCTGAGGTCAGCTAATATCCCTGGCCCACCCTCCTACAACCTGGGCCCCTTTTTCCAGCCCCTGAAATTCATGCACAGCTTTAGTCTTCAGGCTCAAACACTGCTCATTATCCACTCTTGATTCTATGTGGCATTTTGTCTGTCAGCCTTCATTCCTGTTGAAAAAGCGAAGCCCTCTGAAACATTCCCTCTCAAGGCCCCCTGGACAGATTCATTCACCTCCTCCTCGGCCACCCCACCCCACCCCTGCCTCACATAGATTACAGTGTAACTCCCGTGGAACTGTTTTCCAGTGGGATGAAGGAAGGGACACAGAAATAAACTTTAATTTTTTAAGCTTTACTTATTCTTACATAAATGAGTGCTCTATCTGCATGTGCACCACATGCCAGAAGAAGGCGTCAGATCCCATCAGAGCCATCTCTTCAGCCCCAGGAATGAACTTTTAATGAACAAAGGAACCCAGGGCTTCTGTCTTCGAGTCCTGTGCCCAGTGTGTCCTTGCCTTTTCTAGCCAAAGTCAAAAATATTATCTTATTAGTTGTTGTAGTTTGTTTTTCTATTGCATTGAAAAAACAATGACCAAAAGCAACTTGGGGAGAAAAGGATTTGTCTCCCAGTTGAATTTCATCTCTGAGGACCGCTGCTCACTGGCTTGCTCACTGGCTCCTACTCAGCTAACCCTCACACAGCCCAGGACCACCTGCCTAGTTACAGAGCTGTCTACAGTGGCTTAGCCCCTCCCACATCAGTCATTACTTAAGACAGTGTCTTGCAGACCTGGCCACAGGCCAGTCTGATCTGGCTGTTCTTCAGTTGAGTTCCTTCAGATGACAAGTTCCTTTCAGCTGTCAACTTGACAGCTGAAACTAACTGGGACAGTAGCACTCAGAACTGCCTTTGTGGATACCTTTACCTTTGGAGAAAAAAAGGAATTTAGGCTTTCAGGTACCCAGTGGCCTCAAAGTTAAGGGTATGGTTAGAGCAACCCCACAGCAAAAGAGCAGAAAATAGAGCATGGCTTTGCCTGTTCAGGGGCTGGGAAAGGGGACCTAGGTTGTGGAAGGGTGGGCCATGAGGTAAAACCATAAACTTAAGTTAACATTCCTAGCCCATGTGTTTTCTTCACATATATGTGGAAAGAACCACTAAAGTTACTGTCTGTTACTGTCTGCCACTTTAAATGCATATCTGTGTGCTTAGCTTTTTCTATACGAAAATGTTAAAAATGTTAAACTAGAGTGTTGTAACTCAACAGAGTACAAGAGTACCTTGGGGTATGGTGGTATATACCACAGCATATATGTGGAGGTCAGAGGACATCTTTGAATGTCCCCTTTCACCTTGTTTGAGATGGAGTCAGTCTTGTTCACTCTTCATAGCCGTGCTGGCTGGCCTGCAGTCTTCTGGCGCATCTCCTGTCCCCATCTCCCATGTCTCTGTAGGGACACACGTGGATCACAGATGTCTGTTTCTGTCTGGCTTTTCTGTGCAATCTGGGCATTCAAACTCAGGTAGTGAGGCTTGCGTGTACAGCAAGCTTTACCTGCTTAGACATCTCACCAGTTCTTTTTCTACTTTTGAAAGTTAAGCCCAGTGTGGTAGTGTGAGCCTGTAACTGCAGCATTTAGGAGGCAGAAGCAGGAGGATCTCAGCAAGTTCAAGGCCAGCCTCATCTATGTAGTGAATTCTCTGTACAATGAGACACTATCTCAGGAAAATGTAATTAATTTGGGAAGCTTCCAGCAACATAAACTTGGAGAGAGTACTTAAGTAGAGGAAAGCAGAGCTTGCCCAGCAAGCTTTACAGAGCCCCTGAAGGAGGGCTGCTGCAGAGGCGGCCTTGCGGGAAGTCATGCAGCTGCACTCCGGCTGCTTCTGTGTCTTTTGCCAGAATTGAGTGAGGAGCCTGGGTCAGCATCAGCTCGCTTTGAAGGGGAGCCGGCAGCTCAGCCACGAGGCACTGTTGTGTATGCACTGTGATTGCCTTGTGACATGGCCCGCAGCCCTAGCTCCTGGCTGATGCCACTGTGCTGTGTCTTTATGCTCTGCAGCTGTGGCATCCCCATCCAAGTGTCTGAGGTGAGGCTGCAGACCTTCTCATCTGGGCAGCTGACCGTCTTCCTCCCGGCCGAGGTGAAGGCCATAGGCACGGAGAACGATCGTGTCCTGCCTCTGCAAGAACAGGCCATGCGGTGTCTCTACCACACCTACCACAGGCTCTGGAAAGGTACGTACGTGGGCCTCTCTTCTGTCCTCGTTGGGAAACAGGTTCTGTCTTGGTTTTCATCCTTTTTTTTTTTTTTCATGACAGCATACACATTTCACACTGAACTTACCATCTTAACTAAGACTAGTTCCCTGCTGTTGAATATGTTAGTGATCTTCCTGTCTCAGCCTCCTGTGAAGCTTGTCCTGTGGCCATGTGCACTCTGCGGGGCTGGGGCTTTTCTTTTAGAAGTTTTAATATTTTCAACACTGGTTCCTTTGCCATCCTTACAGACACACAGAAGCATTCATTAAAATGTGGTTTCCATTGCAAAAGACAGCAGTTCCCAGAGAAACTCTAAGTTAGAAAAACTGGTGTGTGGAAAAAATGTGTTTGGTTGAAGTGAAAGGGTGACAGTAGGGAAGCCAAGCTGAATGTCTCCTGCAGAAGAGCTGGATTTTGCCTTTCTGTCTCCTAAGTGTCCAGCAAATGCAAGGAGAAGAAATATCAAAAGCCTTTGGCAAAATGAGCAAGCAGGCCAATGCAACTGCCTCTACCTCCCTCTGGAGTGCTGGGATTAAACGCATGTGCCACCACACCTGGCTATGTCAAATGTTTTTAAAGCTAAATGCTTTATCTTTTTCATTTAATTTTTTATTTATTGCAATTTATTCACTTTATATCTCAGCTGTAGCCCCCTCCCTCATCCCCTTACAATCCTGCCCTCCCTCTCTCCCTCCCTCATCTCTGCCCATGCCCCTCCCCCAGTACACTGATAGGGGAGGTCCTCTTCCCCTTCCATCTGACCCTAGCCTATCAGGTCTCATCTGGATTGGCTTCATTGTCTTCTTCTGTGGCCTGATAAGTCTGCCCACTTACCAGGGGGAGGTGATCAAAGAGCCAGCCACTGAGTTCATGTCAGAGACAGCCCCTGTTCCCATCACTAGGGAACCCACTTGGACACTGAGCTGCCATCGGCTACATCTGTGCAGGGGTTCTAGGTTATCTCCATAAATGGTCCTTAGTTGGAGAATTATTCTCAGAAAAGACCCCTGTACCCAGATATTTTGGGTCTGTTGCCCTTCTTGTAGAATTCCTGTCCCCTCTAGATCTTCTCTTTTTATGTTAAATGCTTTGTCTTTGCATTTGGAGAGGGGCCATAATTAAACTTTTTTAAAAATTCATTTATTTATGGTGTGTGTGTGTGTGTGTGTGTGTGTAGGTGCACTCACTCACATGTGGAGATCAGAGGATACCTTGGGGAGTTAGTTCTCTCCTCCCACCCAGAGAACAAACTCAGATCTTTAGGTTTGATGGCAATCACCCTACGTCATATTGCTGGCCTGTAGGCTGGCTTTTGTTTATCTTTTTTGCTTATACTGAACAGAAAATTCTTAGTTATTTACTTATATATAAATTATATTTTTCTAGGTACGTATTGATCATTTCTGGACAGATACAGAAAGGTTAAAAAGACAGTTTATGTTTCCTTGCCAAGATTAGCTGGCAAGCTTGAGACTTCACCTCATCTTGGGCATCCCTCCTTCCACTGCACATTTAACATGAGTATTAAAAAACTAGTGTAAATCTGCGTCAAGATTGCCTGGGTGGCTGAGATGGTTTGTTTAGACACGTCCTTTGTGTAGCTCACACAAGGCTGGGGAAGAGTTTCCTATTTTGTTCATAAGAGTGAAACAAGGAAAAGCTTCACTCTCTTGTTTCTCACTCATCCTCTTGGACCTCCAGCATCTGATATTTTTCAGTAATTAGCCTTTTCATAACTTAGCTTTCACTGGTGTCTAATTGACCAAGTGCCTGATAGATTTGGGGAGAACTTGGGGAGCTGGTGAGTCTTCAGCCTCACCCTCCTTTAATTCTTTGACTTCTGAAAGCCTGCAGAGCTGGCTCTGCGTAGATGGATGCCTTTTTGATCCTTGTTCCTAAAGACTATTTGATCTAATTCTTTCCTTGCCTCTGCCTCGGGACAGCTTCTGGGTGCTCTTAAAAGAGTGGATTTTCATTTTCCTTTAGTATCAAAAATATAAAAAACATCTTTCATTTCCTAATAATGTTAGATTTTATTGAATGCCTATCAGATAACAGAATTTCCAACATGAAGTGCTTTTAACTATTTGAACTTATTTGGTAACAAAGAGAAGTTTCAAACATCTAGTTTAAGGAAATAGAATTTTTCACTCATGTGCCTGATTTTTCTCTTGTGTTCCAGATCTGAACTTTTTGTCTGTAATCTCATTACCCAGAAGTCTCCTGGAGCTGCTGCACTGCCCCCTGGGCCACTGTCACCGGTGTAGTAAGCCCATGTTTACCTTCGTCTATCCCAAGCTTTTCCCCTTGAGAGAGACGCCGATGGCGGGCCTGCACCAGGGGTAATACAGCCTCAGTGGGCACTAGGGCTTAACCTGGGCCAGCGGTGCAGCATGGGAGTGAGGGGGTCACGCATGCAAAGAGCGCTGAGTTTGCAGCTTAACAGGGCTAAATCAGTGGTTCTCAACCTGTGGGTCACACCCCCTTGTGGTTTGGAACTATGCTTTCACAGCGTTGCCTAAGACCATCGGAAAACACAGATATTTCTATCCCAATTTGTAACAGTAGCAAAATTACAGTTATGAAGTAGCAATAAAGTTAACCTTATGGTTGGGGTCACCACACGTGAGGAACTGTCACCAGGGTTAGGAAGGTTGAGAACCACTGCAAGAAAGCCTGCCTGCCCAACTCAGCTCAGCTTTGGGGTATGTACAGAGCACACAGGCACAGCTGGGTGTGATGTTTGGAGCAGCTCACGCTTCCCAGCTTGACCCCAGGTGCAGGGGGAGGGAGCCTTGAGCTCACCTGGCACAACCGAAAGTGAGGAGCCACCCTCTGCACACACATGCTCATTTCTTCCAACAGCATTCCCATGCCACTCCGTGTTTCTTGGCAGAATGCCTTGAATTCATGAAGAATGTTCACTAAGTAAAATCCAGAGCCAACACTGTTATTTAGAGAAAGACAGCCGGTGAAACATAGAGCATTGGAAACGTCCCATGTGCCAGGCCTTGGCTTATGGGTTTTCATGTTTGATTCCCTCCCTCCCCCTTATCTTCCTTTTAAGAAAGGGTCTCAAACGGCCCAGACCAGCTTGGAATTAGCTGTGTAGCAGAGGATGACCTCATTGTCCTGCCTCTGCTTCCAAAGTGCGGGGGTTGCAGACCACCACAGCCAGCTTCACTTTGAATACCTTAAAGCTAAGAAAGAAAGAAAAAGTACGCTATCTCATTTATCAGTGGAGTTGGGGTGGGGAAGTTTCCAGGTGTCAGAAGCTTCGTATTCCTTGTTGATGCCAGCAAGCTTTTCCATTGTGATCATTTTTACTTGAGACAGAATCTTAGGCCAGGCACGGTGGCGCACACCTGTGATCCCAGCACTCTGGGAGGCAGAGGCAGGCAGATCTTTGTGAGTTTGAGGCCAGCCTCATTTACAAAGTGAGTCCAGAACAGCCAAGGTTGTACACAGAGAAATCCTGTCTCAAAAAACCAAAAGGTTAAAAAAAAAAAATTAGACAGAAACAGCCCAGGCTGGCCTCAAATATAGGAACTGTCTGCTTCAGCCTCCTGAGGGATCCTGGGCCCACAGGTGTACGCCACCACTACACCATTGTTGGGATCATTTGATAGACCCCTTCCCAAGGTCATCTACTCTCCTTCACTTGCTCTTTTCTTGTCTCCCCCCCCTCTTCTTTTCTCCCAAGGCTGGGAATAGAGCTCACACCCTTGTGGGTATCCTAGACTTAGACCCCAGTCATGTTTTTGTTTCTTAATTTAAGTGGGATAAGAGACAGAAAGCAAAGACTTTGCGCTGAGAACTTGGGCAGCCTGCCAAGCTTCCCTGAGCCTCAAAATAGGGACGGAATAGTCCACGTTGTTGGCCACCGATGATTAGCAGATGAGGAAGGTAAACACCTGGCACATGGTACTCATTCAGCAAATGGAGCTACCTTTTCTGCGTCTCTGCCTGCTCCTTTCCCAAGCTATGATTACTTTCCCTTGCCCTGGATAATCCTATTTGATATGTTTTAGGTTCTTGTTTCAACATTTTTGTATTTTTAATGTTTTCTTGCATACAGAAGTTCAGCTCTGGACCTTTGTAATTTAACGCTTGTTCTCGGGAAAAACAAACAAGCCCCCAATTCAAGCTCCTACTGTTTGTTTTACTATATACACAATCCAGTGTTCACGGGTTTTCTGTACACAGGACACTAGTTGTCTGAGCCTGTCTACCTGGATGTGGTAGCAGATCCCACAGGCTGAGGCTCAGACCCCAAGGCTGTCCTCGCCATCCAGAAACCGCTCACACGCCCTAGCTAGCCCTGGTCATGCCTCTAACCACTGGAGACCAATCAGGGCTCCAACAGAGCTCCTTCTTTGGGTTCAATTAATGTATTTCAGCAACTCACAGAACCTAGGAAAACCAACTTCTGGTAAAGAACAGCACAAGGAATACATATGCAGGGATGCTCAGAAGAGGCCTGGGGAAGAAGAGTGTCCTGTCCTCCCCTAGGTAGAGCCCCCTCCCAGAATTTCCATGCATTCCCCTATCTGAAGTTCCTGAACCTTGTCCTTTGGGTTTAATGGAAGCATCATTATATGGTGTGATTGCGTGCTCATAAACCTGGTGTGGGACTCTAGCAGGGTGTGTCTTTCTCAGCATTCATCTTGGCCTCTCTGTACATGGGTCATTCTTCCTTTTTAAGACATATGAACCAAACATACCCCACGCACCTCTGGACATGTGATTTTTGACAGAGAAGTCAAAAATATACACTGGAGAAAAAAACAGCACCCTCAACAAATGGAGCTGGTTAAACTGGATGCTACATGTTGTAGAGTTGTAAGTAGATCTATATTTATCACCCTGTGCAAATCCACTCTAAATGGATCAAGGACCTTAGCATAAGGCTAAACAGTCTGTGACTGATAGAAGAGAATATGAGAAATAGTCTTGAACTCACTGGCACAGGAAAAGACTTTGTGAACAGGTACTAAGAACAACAGTATGGGACCTACAACACTGAAAAGCTTCTGTACAACAAAGGACACTATTATTCAGGCAAAGAGTTAGGCTATAGAACGGGGAAGATCTTTACCAGTTACGCATCCAACAGAGGGTTAATACCTAAAATAAAAAACTTAAAAGCTGAAGCATCAAAAAAAACCCAAAAAAACAACAAATAACCCAATTTAGAAAAGTTCTCAAGATTTATAAATAGCTGAGAAACACTTGAAGAAATGTTCAACGCCTTCAGCATCAACTCGAGTAACAAATTCTTATATATTGTTTAAATTAGGCATAACAAAACTGTAGAATATAACTCTGTCTAGGCAGAACACCTCTCCTTCTGCAAACATGAAAGCGGACAGTGCGTGCATTCCCACTGTGTGATTCCTACAGGTAGAGGCTACATAGCTCCATTAGAAATGAGAGAACTTTTGAAGGAAAAAAAAAAAAAAAAAACGGATCCCAGGTTCTAACAAGTTCAAGCCCCAAAGGACTCCTCAGTCTATTTTGGTCCCCTAACAGGATGGTCCCACCCCTCAGGCCTGGTAAGCCAAAGAATTGAGACAGCCCCACCTCAGGCTGGTTCTTTGCTTCAAGCATAACATGCTTGCAGCCAGATAGCTCTCGAACCCATTCTGACCCATAGGACCCAAGCGTCTTATAGTCCTCCTCCATCTTACTCTTTCTCTGACCTGTCTACACCAAGATGGCAGCATTTCTGATGGAGTGACGCACCAGCCACACACCTGATGTCTTTGAGATGGGTTGCCCCACTACGCCATCCTCACTATTTTGTTCAAGAAAGCTTGAGAATTTTCCAAATCATCCAGGTGTGCTTTACTCGTGCTTAACAATGAGTTTCCCGATCTCTTTCTCTCCCCTTGCATCTTACTGTGATGAAGAGGAAAGCTGTGCATTCGGCACCAGGCTTAGAAACCTCAGATGATTGATTTCATTATCACCTCTAAGCTGTGCTTTCTGCGTCAGAGAACACGCCTCAGTCAAGGCATCTGCTGCCTCATGACAGAGATCACTCCATGGTTTCTAGGGCCGTGTTCCTGTTTCTTCACAGGAGCACACTCAGTGTTCACTTCTGTCAGCATTGTGTTCATGATGGCTGTGTATCCCTAGGAGAGTAAAAAATGCACTCATATCCTCCGTCTATCCTCACCACATTCTGCTCTGTTTCTGTCAGTAGCAGTTGCAAGCAGCATAGGCTTTTTCTGTCATGTACCTCAAAGTCTTCCAGCCTCTACCTGTTACCCATCGTGGGCACCATTTCCACATTCCCCAGTGTTCATCGCAGCAAGCTACCACTTCACTGTAGCAGGTTCTCCTAGCAATTTTCACTTCCCTCCCAGAATGAAAAAGAAAGGTTGACTGCTTTCAAGGACAGGTGTGAGAGGCTGCTACACACAGTCTCAGGGTGGGCTAAGGATGGAACCTCAGGTAGGACTTGACGCAGGCAGGGTTTCTGTGTCGGGGGGGAAAGTGTCTTCCACAACTTTGCTCTTATGAGTAATGGGAAGAGGCTCACCTACCATATGGGAGGGGGTGATCTACTTAACTCGAAGTCTGTTAATTTAAATATTAATCACATCTAAAAAACACAGCCACAGCAACGTTGAGACTGATTTGCCTAAACAATGGGGGCCCGTGGCCTAAGCAATTTGGCATAAAAGTGGCTATGACCAGCTCTAAAAGGTCTCACTTAAGTCACTAGGGTGCTTAGAAACAGCTGCTTGCATGGTTCTTCCCATGATGCTGGGTTAGTTTTACTGAGCAGCTAATACAAAGTGTGTTTGGGCTTGGGGGATTAGTAGCTCTGCTTTTGTGCAGTTGGGCCCTGAGGGTGCAGTGCAAAGGACTCTAGCTTGGACGGTGAATGGTAACTTATGGTCCATGTCTTCACACTGTGTGACATTCTAAGGCGCCTCCTTGCTCAACTATTGCCAAGTTGAATTGTTGGCCTCAACCTTCCATGTGGTCCAGCATAACTGCAATTCTCATTTTCCTAGACCAGAGTCTCATGGTAGAGCTGGGATTTAAACCCTAGCAGGTAGATTCCAACTCTGTGTTTTAATCACTGTATTGTACAGTGAGAATACTATTGAAATAGTGTTCAGAAATACAAAACTAGCGTTCCATAATACTCTGAGCAAGATACTTCTGAAATACATACATACATATATATATAACCAAACATGGTGGCACATGCCTTTAGTCCCAGCACTTGGGAGGCAGAAGCAGGCAGATCTCTGAGTTCAAGGCCAGCTTGGTCTACAGAGCAAGTTCAGGACAGCCAGGGCTACACAGAGAAACCCTGTCTTGG